GAACTATGCAATTGTTGAGACTCCTCTGAAACAGCCTTTTTATTTAGTTTATTTATTTAGCAAGGAAAAGCTCAGTGTCAGAACTGATGATGTGAATCACGACAGTCAAAAATGAGAGGGCCCTATTAGATTACATGACATCACTAATATTCTGGGTGATAGTGAGCTAACAGAGACAGGAAAACTGGGCATTCTGCTAATTGTTGGGTTTAACCAAGTGAAGTGAATGTATCTCACAGACAAATTAATCATTTGTGTTTCTTGTTCTGTGTAATTTCTATGATTTCTACATGTTTTTGTATTCAATAACATGCAAATTGTTCAGAAAAAAAGAACGACAAGATAGGTCAATGGGATTTTTAAGCAAAAAGTGCTTTACCTAAGAAATTATTCAAATCGTAAGATTTCATAATGTTCTCAGGGTTGTTACACTCATTCAACAGCAATAGATCTGGGCTTTCCACTGAACGCACACCAGGTTTGAGTCCCCATTTGACTATGAAGCTCACTGGGTGACTTTGGATCAGTCACAACCTCTTGCGTAGTTGCTGTGAGAAAATGGAAAGGGAGAGGACCCTGTACTCTGCCTTGGGTTCCTGGCAGGAAAGACAGAATATACATCTAACAAATGAGCAAATAATCAGAAAACTGCAGCTCTTCCTGGTGAATGTTTATGATATACCTTTTTGTGACACCTATGCTTCATCTTTTATATACTTTTTCTTAAAAAGGTGCGCTCCTGAAAAGAGTTAACACTTGAAAGAGACATAGAAGTAGCAAAGTGTGTATCATTTCCATTTCTTTTTCTTACAGTGACACACAGCTTTTCAATGAATCATGCATTAACTAGTTGACATGACCTGGCAAAGCACTTTGGGTCCCACAGTACTGCAGTAACATATGCCTGGGCCACTCACATTAGCTTCTTGGCCCATGTGGTGACTCTCTGCCAACAGCCCGCTTGGAATTAGGCACATGCCCAGTGCCTCATGCGGCTGGCCCACATTTATACCACAGGGGTCCCAACCATGCAGAAGTGGCTTTCTAGTGCTTACCAGACCACTTGGGTAATGTAAGGATTGTGCCACTGAATACTGGGTCTCTGCAGTGGGAAGCTTGCATATCTCATTGAGTTCATTTCCCCATGTTTTGGGATTTTACCTGACAGGTTATTCTGTGTGATTGCATTAGCTATCAAGAAAGAAAGCCCTCAGCAAGACAGAAAAAATGATGACAAGAAGAAAGTCTGATGAAATATAGAAAGAATTCAGTAAAATAAATACTGCTTATAGTAACCAAGTCATTCTCAGTAGGGAGTATATTGACTGAGTCAAGCTGAAGTTGTACAAAATCTGTGAAAGTGTTTGGGTTGCTGGAAAATTCAGACAGTGCAAAATTTGAGGAAAGAGAAATATAGTGCTCTGGGCATGTGTATGCAGTAGGGGGAGGTAGTAGGATTCAAGAACATAGAAATGTAGCCAAAATTTATAGTGCACAGCAATTTTGTGATGGAAATTGTCAAATGAAAAATCTTCTTCCAAATGAAACATAGGCAATTTACCACAGCTAGGTTGAAAAGATTAAGATTCAAATCCTAAAAAGCTACAAATTCACAGCTGTCGCATTCTCTCAAAACCAGTTTCTCGCAGAGAAAATGTGAACTATAATGATCCATTTCAGTTATGTTATTAGAATTTGGGTCATTCAGCATTTATGAAGGGACTTCAACTCAATTCCACTCAATTTCATCCTCCTGTATTTTTCATGTTATATCTATACCACCCAATAATCAAAGCTGTCTAGACAGTTTATAATAGCACATAAAATACGAATTAATACCCACTATAAAATGTAATACTAATTTTATAATACAGTTCACTACTAAATGTAAAACAAAATATCAGCACAAATTAAAACAAGACAAATCCATTCAACAGCTGACATGATGGCCCAAAGTATTATTCAGAGATGATTAAATTCCTTGTCATAAAGGATGGTCTTAACCTGAAGCCAAAGGAGCAGAGCTGGCAACAAGCAGGCCTCAATGGAGTGATTGTTCATAACTAGGGGGCCACAACTGAGAAGTCTTTTCTCCTGTCTTCCTCATAATCCCCTGAACCCTTTCCAAATCTGCTGGAGGATCCCTCAACTCTCCTTGGCATATTTGGGGGGCCCATAGGGGACTGAAGGGAGAGAAAGCCATTCTGCTAAAGGACCCATTCCACAGGAAACTGGGCATCGGAATAACCACTTCAGTATTATTTTGTATATTACTCATTATGGAAATGATAAATAGAAATAATTATAGGAAATCATTGTCGTGAAAAGGCAGATTCCATAGGAGGCAACACAGTTCTAAAAGCCACTTAAATTCACACTGAAAGTAATAGTGCTACTCCTAGGTAAACTGGTAAAGGATTTTAAGTACAAGATATAGGTAACGCATACTAATTTTAACTGGACTGTATCTAGCTTAGATCCAGTGCTGCTAAGATAAATTCTGGCTAGAATCTTCATCACAGATAAAGAAAATACACATCAGTAATAAGATCTGCTATAAATACCTCATGAGTATGTACTCATAAGATTACTTCAAGAGTTCTTTCAGTGCCACTTGTTACAGGAACTGCCCCTTAGTCACACTACTTAAAAATAATATTTAAAGAACAACCCTGCTCCAAATTTAATTTTAGACTACAACAAGGTAATAGGTAACTATTGCCTGAAAATAGAACATTATACTGAATGCATTTGTGTAATTTTCTTCAGCATACTTTACCATTAGCACTATCGTAATAACCTACTATTGCAAACTGTTTACCTTTCCATCATTCAGAAAATCCAGTACTGAAATACTGTTTATGTATTGAATCACACAGGAGAACAATCCTTGGTGGAGCAAAACTATTATTATAATTGTGCCTTGAATGAGCAGTTCAACTCTGCTCTTCAGCATTATATATTTTCAAAAGCAATTAAGTAACTACAAAAGATGACAGGTTGGCAGACATGGAGGGCAAACTCCTAATGAGGGAGTGAAGGCTTTTTTTCTATCTTTCCTGCTACAGAATTACAACCAGTATGCAATCTACAACTCAGAGAAGTAGCACTTTACATTTACAATTGAGGATACCATAAGTCCACTTGGAAAATGACACACTTCAGAAAATGTCCCATAACTCCTAGCCTTCCCTAGCCAGACAGGCTGATTGGCAAATTCTGGAATTTATTGTACTTGTTCTGCTTAAATATGCATAGGGTTATGTCCTAAATGGAATAAAACCATGCTTTAAAAAATCCTACCAGTTGGTCATTTCATAAGGTTAAATTTTTCCCATTGCTAAGCTGGAGCCTGGCATGAGCAGGTATTTGTGATGACGTATGACAGCACAAGCATTTTGCATTAGGGTTCCTTGGGTGAAGCCATCTTAGCAAATTCCTAGGCAAAATGTACTGATACCTCTTCCTGGAATAGCATGAATTGCTGAACTAAGTTATCCACCAGGTAACATTTCTGAATGTTGTGGCAATTTCTCAGCAGTGTAGATAAACTAAAATACGCATTTTAAAACATATTCCAAGGAAAAATGCACAAAACATATTTAACGTGTTTGGAAGCAAGTATGGTTTAGAATGCTCAACTGGGACTCAGGAGATCTGGGTTCTTGTCCCCACTTGGTCATGAAGCTCATTGGGTGACTCTGGGCCAGTCACTGACTCTCAGTGTAACCTACTTCACAGGACTTTTGGGAGGAACAAAATGGAGAAAAGCAGGATAATGTAGATAATATTTAAATGCATAGTTTGAAAGATTTTTTTAAACCATTGATTAATTTGGAAACAGAACCAAATTTTGAATAGAAACATGGTAAAGTTATACAAACAGAAAACAGATGCCCAAGCAAGTATTCTTAATTGGGATACCAGTAACTTCATTCAGGAGGGCCTTCTCCCTGGTGGCCCCCTGGCTGTGGAACATGCTTCCTAGAGAGTTGCACCTACCACTGATACTTTATTTTTTTGGCACCAGCCCAAATCCTTTTTATTTCCCCATTATTTAAATTTTTATTTTAGTTGGACTTCTATCATAGATATTATGTTGTGCCTTTACTGTCCTGAGACTTTCATGTATAGTAAGGGGTATAAAAGTTTTAAATAAATATACATAAATTCATATGAATTGTTAAGTTTATAAAGAATCTAATGCCCCTTCGGTATAAGGCTGCTTTGCAATGGATTTGCACCCTTTTCTTTTAAAGGCTGAAAAATCCAGGCTGAGCAGCTGGCTGTTCTTCAAGAAAAGGAGTAGAACAGATTTCTTAATTAAAAGAAAAGTTGGCCAACACAAATGAATGAATGAATGAATGAATGTTCTCATGTCCTCACTGGTGTGTGTTCTTGAAACATGTTTCCTTAGGACCAGTGGGCTTACTCTAAAGTTGGGACAGATTGCCAACTTAGTGTAATGATCAATCTTGGTTCTTCAAGTGGTAACAATATTCTAAATGGTACTGCTCAAATAATTAAAAATATTAAAGTATGGCAAATGAGACATTCTGTATAGTACCCTTCACTTCTAGCTTATATGCTTGTTATAGAGCACTGTTGATACTTGGTTATGCCCAGAAATAATCCTCATGGAAGGAAGGAAGGAAGGAAGGAAGGAAGGAAGGAAGGAAGGAAGGAAGGAACACTCCTATTTATTCTGTTCACTTCTTCTGTCAGGTAATACGACTCTGTTGCATCTTCCAATGAATAACAATGTAGGCACAAGAGAAGCATTCAATGGAAGGATTAGTTTTTAATGTAAAGTAGGAAAAACAAGTTTATCAATGATTTTTGTACATGACATCTTCAGTCAAATAACCTGTGCCTAACATTATTTCTTACAAATATCAGTTATTCACATGCACTGTAGCTGGTATAGCAGTGGTCATTGAAATAATAAACAATGTTCCCATTAAAGCATGGCAAGCACTCACTTATGAACAAGAAATTACCTGAATTAGGTCTTCAAGTTCTGTGTCATTCACACAAGAATGCTCTGATACAAACATCTGTTTCTGGAACACAATAGTTGTTCTCTGGTTAGTTTCATGTGGCTGCTCCAGGGCTTTGAATACAGTAGCTCCAATAATTAAATACAAAACCACCACTAGAAAAATGGTTGAGACCGTCTTCCATTTCATAACATTAATAGTTGTATCAGTCTCTTCCCGCGAAGCAAGCACGGTGGGTTTGGTGGAAAATGACAGCCTGGGTTTGGAGTTCTGAGTGGCAGATTTGGGATCCAGTAAGTCAGGTGCCGCCACTAATTAAAAATGAAAAAACAACAACAGAATGTTAATTTTTTCACAATTTTGTCAGAGATTTATTTAATGGTTTTTCTTGCTAGAGGGTCAGAGAGAGGCTATTAATTTGTGTGACAATTTATCTTCAGCAATTCTGGCATTGCAGACAAACTTAACTTGTCTATCTCATAAGAGTTTATGACGACAACCTGTAACAGTATTGCTTAATTCGTTATCTATGTAAGCTGATTATAATATTTACATTCCAGTATTGTAAAACTTAATATAGCTAAATTACTGAATATAACACTATTGATGTAATGATAATTACTTAAAAATATTCTTCCTGACAATTACAGAGTTTTCTCAAATTAACTCTTCCTGATTCAGTTTAAGTGCAGTATTGCCAAGCTGTAGTGAACATAAATATTATTTTCTCAAACCATAACTGCACACACAATATGCTGGACTTGGAAAAATGCAGTATCTGCATCTCCATTTGCTTCATGTACAATTTCTAACAATTCATTATGAGTAATATCAGTTGGCAAGTTTTCATTAAGCAAAATCCTTTTTAGAAATGTTTACTGATACTTGGCAAAAAAAAAAGAGAAAAAAATCCATGCATGTAACTTGGAATCTCAAATAATTCTTACACAGCAAGACCAAATTTGTATTGCCACCCAAGATTTTCTCAGGTATAGGTCATGAAAATATTACAGGATCTTTTCTGATCTGCAACTGTACACAGAAGCTGATAAGCTATTACTGATGTACCATTCTCCAAAGTTCCAATGAAATAATAATATAGCATGCCAACAAATGTGAAATTTCCCTATAAGACCACTGATATTGGCAAATTCAGTATATTCTCCCCTCCCTAACACATGCATCATCAATTTATTCTGACCACAGACTCCTGTCAGTGGTGCTAGGGGAATCCCACATCTAAATGCAGATACAGATTTCCCATTCTCCATCTCTCTCTACTGTCCATCCCATCTCTCTGGAAAGTGGACATGCCTTAGGAAGGGGTGGGGGAAGCGTATACATCTACAATGTTCTTCAGGAAGCACATCTACAATGTTCTTCAGGAAGTTATGCATAGCATTGCAACACCTTCAGACACAGGAACAAGCATAAGCAGACAAGAAGAAGACAATCACCCATAGTAAATTTAATTAGTATAGCAGAGGGTTAGGGCTCCCTCTCTCTGCAAAAAGGTAGCAGCAGTCACAGATGAGAAACCTCAGATGATCATTCTTCATGACTCATTGCACGGAGCTGTCGTGTAGTTACTCTTTTCCAACTCCTAGAAAGCTAGGACTTCAGGCAACACCTTCACATGCTTCCTTCCTTTCACTGCAGTGGCTTCATGATAACTTTTGCCATGAAGCGAGAGCGCTGATACAACAGCATCCTTCTGTGTACCCAGAGATGCCTCACTCTGCCTGCAGTAGATGAGATGGGACTAATCCCACTGACTTCAGGGGGAGTATTTGAGAGGCACTGGCTTCACTCTCTAGGCTGCATCGCTCAGTTACAAGTAAGCTCCTCTTCGAGTGACGAGGGCAATGTACAGAGGTTTAGCAGGGCAATCTGTGAGCTGCAGTACCAGCCAGCACTGAACTTCTGTAGGACTGAAATAATCAAAATATTAAGCAGGTGGCACGTCAGGAAGAGAGACGTGCAATGGGCAGGAGAAGTCGAAAAGGGTGGGAACCTGGTGCAATCCCCACTGATTCCATCACTGCTTCATGCAGCCACGACCACTTTGATCTCACTTCCCCCTTAGCATGTTGTCACCTTGCTCCCTCTCTCCTCCCATCCCAAAATGGTGGTAATCCAGGTTTCTTACATCAAACCCTCCTGCAATTCACCTGGGCATTGTGTTCTCTCCTAATAACAACAACAACAACAACAACAACAACAACAAAGCCCTCCCTTCCTTGCTGTGCTACTGCCCAGATGCAATGCATGCCCTTCCTCTCAAAGAAATCATAGCACCCCGGGGGAAGTGCAATCCCCAAGTTCCCTCCATCCATTCCCTTTGAGAAAGCGGCTGTATGAAGCTGAGCTAACAAAGGGGAGAAAGGCAGAGTAAAGCATCATCTCCGTGTGCTGATGGCTGTGGGGCTCCGAGCACCATCCCTCCCGATCCTTCATCTCCATCCATCCTCATCCACCTTCTCAGCCCTTATGAAGATCATCCACCTTGCCCAGATTCAACACTGGCTCCCCACTCACCCCCCGCAGGAATAAGAAGCCCTTCACCCTGCGAGGGGCAAGCCCCTTTTGACGTTTGCAGAGCATCACGAGAGATAAATAAATCCTCATGCCTCTCCCTTCTTCCTATGCTTTCTAAAGAAGCAACCAGTTTCTCCTCCTCTTGGATCTTCCCCGGCCCCCCCGCGCCCCAGAGATGTTCTTGAAATCGTTTGAAAACGGCACGTCTTCCCATGCCCCTGAGGACAGCAAGCAACGGCGCTGGAAAAGCCCCACTGCCTTTATGGACGTCCAGGACCTTTGGCTCTGTTGTCCCCTTTCAAAAACCGCCACCACCACAAATCCTTCCTTCCCCGTGTATCCTCAACTAAAGCCACACACACGCCTGGAACAAAGATGAAGTGTAACGAAGCGCCCTGAGCCAAGGTGTTGCATGCAGCAGGAAGAGCCCGTGCAGAAGGGATGGCGAGGCGGGGATGATGCGGGGCGGCCGGGGGGGGGGGGAGGCAGAGAAAGGCAGCGGGTTGGGTGGGCACGGGCAAAACAGGCTCTCCTGCAGATGGGTGGGGTAGGGCTGCGAGGAGGGATTCTCTGCCCTAGAGCTAAGAAGATGCAATGGCAAAAGCAGAGGAGCATGCAGCATTTTTCAAAGCAGACCTTTTTTTTTCCTTAGCCAGCGAGACGCGCCATTGTAACGAGTACTCACTTCTTATTTACAGACCCGGTGCCCTCTCCTCGCTTCACGGGCAGGCATTTTTTCAAGGCTCGGGGAGGCAGAGTTTGAGAGCAAAAGGGGGGGGGGATTAGGGAGGGGTGGGGTGGGAGAGGAAAGGGGAGGGGAGAGAAGAGGAGCGAACGAGCAGCGCGTGGGTCTGAAGAGACACCCGGAGACACACAGAGGGAAGGAGCGACACCGCACACACGGACGCCAAGCCGCGCGGCGCGGGGGCGGGGGGGGCGGCAGGCCGCTGCCGAGCGCGGAACCCACGCGCGCCCCTCGCCGCGGTGCGAGCTGCCTGCGCGCGCCTGTGTGCGTGCGCGCGCGCCTGTGTGTGTGTGTGTGTGTGTGTGTGTGTGTGCGCGCGCGCGCGCGCGCGTGTGTGTGTGTGTGTGTGTGTGTGTGCGTGCGCGCGCGCCTGTGTGTGTGCGGGGGGGGGCTCGTGCGTGCGTCTCGTGCCGTGCCTGGGTGGCTGTGCAAGGCGACTGCCTCCGCTCAAGGTGTGTATGTGCGGAACTCCCTCCGCACTCCTCCTCTCCTCCCCCCCCCCGCCTATTCCACGGCTTCTCCCGGCCACCTCCGCCCGCCGATGCTGCCTGAGCGTGCCTCGCTCGCTCTGGACGGTGCGTGTGTGTGTGCGTGTGAGAGAGAGACTTGCACGCCAGCAGAAAACCAGTTCTGCTGGCCTGCGATCTAGGGGCGAGCAGTCCCCTTCCCACCACCCTCCACTTCGCGTCACTGTGCGTTGCTTTGCTGGACTGAGGCCAATTCTTCTGGCCCGCGTGGATTAGGCGACTGAGGGGATGGCAGGCGGGAGGGCAACGGGTGCCTTCCCACGCCAGGGCGCGCCGCAGTCCGTCACCCCTTCTGGATAATAGGCAGCCCCTGGCGCTGCACCCTCTTCTCCGGGCGGCCCTCTTCCTGAGTTGTCGCTTTTGTCTTACCCGGACGACCGGTGGGCACTCTGCTGTGGGCCCCCGGTGCACCCCAGGGCTTCCGTGCCACTCCTGGCCGGTGCCTACCGGGCTTCCTCCAGAAGTGCCAAATCCACGGGCGCCCGGCTTCCACGTGGCCAGGGGCTCAGCTCGCCCAGGAACCGGGCTGGGAGGACTCAGCAGAGCGCTACTGTGGTTGTCAAAGCGGTTAGAGAAGAGAAGCGAAGCCGAAGGAGGTCCACACTAGACTCCAGTGTGCCATCCTTAAATGGGCCCTTCCTTCTAAACTTTTGAAGAAGGACTCAGTGGAAGGCAATCTATAATTGGTGAGCTGTTGTAAGTTTGGGAAAGTAATCTCAAGTATTCCGTGCAGCTTGAAGTCTCACACTGCATGCTGTTTGTGCATGCGCAGGTGAATGCTGCCAGTGCGGGACAGAAAATAAGAGAGGGTATTTTACATCCGATGACCTTTCTAGCAAATTTATCTTGCACACGAAACCAGTTCAGTCATAGTTATGAAGGGCAGAGAAATCTGTACCTGATGCAAATGTGTTGGGATTCCTATGAATCTAATCTGTGGATTCTGCAATGGACCAGTTTTTTCTGATTTTGCAGACATACAGACATATTTTTAACTATGGGGGGCTGTGTGCACTAATGAGCACTTCTGCAAATGCTAATGTGAGTTAGCACTAAAACAAATTAGCATAAGTATAGAACAAAATTCTAGTAAAATAAGTTTGATTTCATCAGTGAGCGGATGATGGAATGAAAGGTGCCTGAAAATCTGTGAAAGATGGATAGAAGGGATTTACACAGATGCAGACTGGACCTAACTAAGGGCTTTTCCAACATGACATGCAGTTTTAGTACCCTGGACACACTGGAACACATGGCATTGGCAAGTTGTTTCTGCAGCCTGCACTGCTTTCATACTAGTCCACATGGCTCACAGCCATGGACTTCCTAAGGTAGCTTACAACATAGAATATAATACACTATCAAACCAATTATACAAACATCCTCAAACAATTTTAACAAACCAGCTGAAATAAAATATAAAGATCTAGTAATTGTAAATACTGCAAAGCCAACTGATAGCCAGGGAGAGCAAATAAAGCCCTCTTAAACCAACCAGCGATGCTGCTATACATCTTAGGAGCAAATACTGTAGGGTGTTGAGAAGAACCTCTACCAACTGCCAACTTAGTGGCCCTCCAGAGTCTATCTTAAAGCACAGGCAGGTTCATTCAGGTGTAGGTGGTTCTTCAAATAACAGAAATCACCCAAAGAGCTTTGGCTGTGGGTCAGTATAGAAATAACCAAACCATTAAAGCCTTTAAAGGTTAACATTCTGAGATGTGCCTGGAAATGAACTAGCAACCGGCACAGCTGGCATTGCATTGGTGAAAGTGACTAGCCAGATATGATAAATGTATGTGTGGACACATGCTGTACCAGCTGTTGGTTCTGAGTCATCTTCAGAGGCAACCCCACGCAGAGTGCCTTGCATTATTCCAGGAATCAGGATATGAGTAACTGATGGGGAATCTCCTTTTAACAACCATGCTTATCGGGGAAAGGAGGAGAGAATCTTAATCTTAAAAAGCAACACCTTCAAACCACTTTATTGGAATATATAATAGTGAATATGTTGCAAGTGCTACACACCACCAACCCCATCACACATCATTTAGTCAACTGCTTATTATTTCAGTTTTTGGATCTATGGAGGTCAATAGAACTAACTCTGTAAGAGCTTACTTCACACTCCCCTATTCCCAATAAGTTTAAACTCTGTGATAAAGAAAGCATATATACTATAGTACAGTTAGGCTTTGGTCTTCCAAAAAGAGACCCTAGATTGTAACCTTTTGTGCCAATGATCTTGATTATTTTAAGAGTTTAGCCATAATTTGGCTGTAGGTTCTGGCCCAAATACTACATATTGTAGTATCTGCAAGGTTCTTCAAATTTCCACAATTTGTAGCATTGCCTTTAGATAGAAAGGGCATCACTACATATTTACATGACCTAATTCTCTTCTGCTAGAGCCTGGAAGATTTCATACATAAAACACTACTTTCTATTTTCCCTTGAAAAGTTTGTTACCAATGGCCCTGTACAAACATTTCCTGTTCCTCCCATGGGAGGAAAAAGTTTCTTTTTCTACAATTCCTTCTACAGTTATATGGAAAAAGTGGCATAAAACATTCTTCTATACAGAGGTTGGATTTTTTTTTTACCACAGCTAAGTAATATCATCTTTCTCCCCAGAGAACAACCTTGGTGGTTAGTTATATTAAAGAAAACACATGGAGAAGGTAGGCTTAAGGACCAGATCAATCAGTACTTAGGAAATGTATTGGAACAAAGTGATATAACCACCAGAAAACTAGACCTAGGGCTTTTAGGACGATGAGGTTGAGAAAATGAGATAAATGTAGTGTTCTTCAATATTTAAGAAATCACCTTTGTTCCTTATATGTCAACTAAAGATTAAGTTAGATTACTGCTGTGTGCTCTATATGGGGCTGCCCTTGAAGACAGGTCAGAAGCTTCAGCTACTTCAGAATGTGGCAGCCAGATTAATAACTGGGACCTGTAGGTCCAAACATATAAGACTGCTTCTGACTGGCCTGCACTAGTTGCTTGCATGCTTTTAGGCCTGATTTAGGCTGCTGGTTTTAATTTGTAAAGCCTTACTTGGCTCGGACCACACTACCTGTTGGCACACCTATCCCAGCCTTGATCTATTTGAACATTACACTTCGTCTCTGGGGTCTTCCTCCAAGGACCTACCCTACAGGAGGCACAGAAATAGGCAACAAGGGGAAGGGCATTTTCTGTAGTTGCTCCCCTTCTTTGGTATACTGAGTATACCATAATCTCACTGCTGCATCAAAGTTACCATCTATTCAGTGCCAGGTGAAGGCAGCCCTTTATTTGAGGCCCTTAAAGATCTACTTGGTATTTTTTTACTGTGTGTGTTCTAGCTATTTTAAATTTATTTTGATGTCGTTTTGTTTTTTGTGGTATTTGTATTGCTTCTTATTTTGTTTTTGCACTGTTATAAACTACCCCAAGAGCTTCTGCTATGGAGCAGTGTAAAAATGAAATGAGCAAAGTTAAATGAAATATGCTTTTGAATTTTACTCATGAATATCATACTAAGCAACAAACTATTTCTGAAACACAATTCTCACCATTATACTGAATCATTTCAATGACTGTCATTGTCAGTACCATATCAGAGTAGCTTGAAACATTTGCTACTTACAAAGGTGGGATTGGTGGCTTGCTTAGGGTAAGCCTGTGGCTCAAAGGGGATTTGATGTTTAGTCTCCAAATGTCTTGTTATTGCTACGTGGCATAAGGCAGGGGTGGGAGCTTGTGACTCTCAAGCGCCTGTGATTTCTGACTATTGACTTTGCAGGTTGGGACTAATGTGAGTTTGCATCCAGCAACATCTGGAAGGCTGCAGATTCTCTACCCTTGAATAAAGCATGCAATTTCCCCCTTCCATTTTTATTTTTGCTTTAGTGTCCTGGCAAGCCAAAGCAAGTGCTTGCAGCAATAATGACTACAGTAAAAATGGAGATAGCTAGGAAACTCTTCATAATACAAATTTGGCATGCTGTTGAGTGAAAGGGAACATGTATTCTGTGCAACTTCCATAATTTTCTGGCTACATAGCCTGAATGGAAGAAACAAAGGCAGCAAAGATTCATGAACATTTGGGATTGAGGTTTTCGTACCATGATATTTGACAGAAAACTGCTGTTTCTTATTTTAGAATTTAAGCAATTAGGCACAGGTAGTCCTAATAAGACCACATCAAGAATCTATGCATTTTGCATTGCTTTGTCTGTTACCAGAATATGAATGTGGCAACATCAGTATAAACACATTTGTTGTGATATTTATACTGTAATCCAATGCAAGTCTACTCTGTGGCACTGACTCCCAGGTAAATGTGTACAGGATAACAGACTACATTGACTTTTTAGTTTTAAAAATTTCTATACTGCTACTCACACAAAATTTCACAATGAATACCAGACCTTGTAGCAGATACAGATCCTTACAACTAATTCCCGTCTTAAT